AAATTTAGCATAGAAAAACCCACTACAAAACCAAATCAAAAATCATAGATAATTCAAAACTAAGCCTGTTGAAAAATCAAAATGAAATATAATGAATATCAGCCCCAAGACGAGCTGTGAAGAAGGATATAGTCGGACAAGCACCACCGGTTGGCCAATCCTTTTCCTTTATTCCATAAAATGAGATGTTTAGTCTCGTAATTTTAAGGACTAGATGAATAATTTTACGTGACTCATAAGCACCGTTTTTATAATTTAAAAAGAAATGTACATGTGTCCTCTTATGATTGATAGTTAACACTTAACCCTAATTATTCATTTTCTATTGATTTCTCTCTCTCATATATATATATATATATATATATATATATATATATATATATATATATATATATAAAAGAAATTTTATTTTTAAATATTTTTTTTTCAGTGAATTAGTTTCAAAACTTTCAGTTTGTAGCCTATAAAGTCTATTAAAAAAGATTAAATATGTTAAAGTATTTTTTGTATGTATTTCAATTGATATTCTAATTTTTGGGTTTCCAAATCTTTATGTATTTTATATATATATAATATATATTATATATATATATCTATATATATATATATATAACTTGTTATTTAGTTATTTACCATTGACTTATAGTTGTTTCATATTTTCTATTAAAAAAAAACAAATCTCATTTAAAGTTATATGAAGCTATCTCTATATATTGTTTTTCTCTATGGCTCTCCAAGACAATATATAATGAAATATTGAATACAATATATTTTATATTAGTGTATTTTCTTATTTTTTAATAGTTTTGTAATAGTTTTTTCTTTTAGTTTAATATTTATTTTTACGTGCAAAGTTTTTTTCAATTTAACCGGTTAAACGAACCAAATAAATCGTGACCAAATAAATCAAAACCAATTAAACCGAATCTTATTTGGTTTGGTTATGGTTAAATTTGAAATATAAAAAAACTGATAAATCTAAACTGATTTAACGGAAAACCTAAAAACTTAACCAAACAACACCCATACTTTTGTTTCTTTTTCTAGCCTCTTGCTAATTGAAGTTTTATTTAATATATTTTTTGTTGATTAAAAAAATTAAATAATTAAGTTTTAATGCTTACACAATAAAAAAAGACTATGGCTTTTAATATTGATTAAATTAAACCCACAAATGACTAATCTCCACCAATAAATCATGCAAGACTTTTGTAACAACCGTCGTGCAAATTGAGATATTAATGTCGCATTCTTCTCTCAGAATTAATTCGAAAAGAAAAATGTATGATCAATCAAGTGGGTATAAATTTTTTTGTAGCAGGTATGCAGTATTTATATATAGATGGGGGTATGGGGAAGACTGGATTCATACATTAATTTTGTAATTGGTATCATTTGTTATATTATATAGATTATATTAGACTTAGTCACATGTTCAAGTCTTATTAAATGGTTATAAGAAAGCACGGATGGTAATTTCCACCAAGTATTTTAATGCACTCAAATATTATGAGACGACTTCAAGACTTCAAAATTTTGGAGTAATCCTAAAGCGAAATAAAATAATTTTGTAATTGATATGTGTATAACTGTATATATAGATGAGGGGATGGGGAGGAGTAGATGCATACATTCATACATAAAAGGTAAGATTATAAAGTAGTCTTATTGATATTCTTTCGTGAATGTTTTATTTTGTGGTATTAACTGGCAAAGCAAATTTTTATCATTTGTTATCTTCAGTTCTAGTCTCAAATTCGTCATTAATACTTTGAAGTCAATTAGCTTAATAAAATTTCTAAATTTTATTTGCCTGATACGGTATTATATAATCAAATTGAATCATTTACATGCTTTATTTACATGCATGTATGGTGGATGAATTTTTATTATGTGAATTAACCTCATAAATGCTCGAAATTGTCATCAATATACAGGAAAAAAGAAGATACACACGAACAAGAGCTCAATCACATAATAATCGGTTAGTCTTCAACTCAAATATATAGTAATATAGTTTTATGCTCTCTCTCTCTCTCTCTCTCTCTCTCTCTCTCTCTCTCTCTCTCTCTCTCTCTCTCTCTCTCTCTCTCTCTCTCTCTCTCTCTCTCTCTCTCTCTCTCTCTCTCTCTCTCTCTCTCTCTCTATATATATATATATATATATATATATATATATATATATATATATAGACACACACACAATAGGTGTACACCCGCGCATATATGTTAAAAAATTTTCATACCCAACCTTTAGGCAAACATCATGCACACGTTAAAAAAGAAAAAAAAAATTAATTGATGTTTCCTACTTTAAACATTTCCGTTGATTATTTTTTATCATAATTAGTTTTTGTTTATAAAAAGATAAATGGTTTGTGCATAACAAATTTTTACATTAAGTTATCAAGCAAGCATGTACCTCTTGAATTTGAAGAATACTTAAATATGTTTTATGATATAGTTAAAATAATATATATATATATATATATATATATATATATATATATATATATATATATATATATATATATATATATATATATGTGGTATGCATGAATCTAGTTTATTTAGAATTTATGTTGATGTTAAATCACAAAAGGTTTCCACCATCACCACCACGACCATGCACCACCGTTACCAACACACGCACCGTCCACCACCCCAACTATAGTTGTCAGAACCTTTGATCCTTTCAACTGCCACTGGAAAAAATAGAGGGAAACAAGTAAATCATGTAGGAAAAAGGACATCAGTTACTTACTTTTGTCCCTGTCTTGTTGCATAAAAGCCTCTTCACCCACACCCATTTCCACCGACAAACAACCCAAGTCCTCCTTCGATAGCTGCTAACACTTCCGTCTCAACTGATTATCATGGCTTTAATTTCTACATACTTTGTTAGACAGTTATATATGTAAGATCATCAACACCTTCTCTTTCATACTCTCTTTTTGTTTATCACTGCACAATTAGAATTCGATGGTAGAGTTGTTACCTCGTTTGGACACGAAAAAAACGTCTCAATCCTAGTTCTACTCTCTCTTCGTCTATTTCTCCTCTTCTCTCAACATCCAGACTACCAAAAATATTGTCATCCCTAACATTGATCAGACCACCAGCCTACAAACTTAACCACCACTATCACCTCAAACCTCTTATATCAAAATTTACACATTCTCTCACTGATGGGTTTACGTCATCGCATTTCCGTTTTCGTTAACAAAGACGCTGACCTACAACTGACAGAAAATAGGTTCATCTTAAATTTCCTAGAGAAATTAGTTACCGAGGGCGACGTTAATGATTCACATGCTAGAAAAGACATTATGGAAGTGGCAGATATATAGCGAAGATGAGTTCAAAATAGGAAGATGAAAAGAAAATCAAAGGCGACAAGGAGAACAATGAGGAATTCGAGGGTCTGTGGTTTTGATCAGAGCCTATGGAGTTTCGATGGGTGGGTGCAATTCAATTTTAATTGATTTGGCGGAATGTAAATAAGCATTAAGGAAGGAGAGTTGTAGTGCGGAAGAAGGTTGGTGTTAAAGGCTAATGGCGTAGCAGAGGGGTGGGTTGATTAAGGCTTACTGGAGTGATATTTGGAAGAGGAACCACAACATGGGGAACAACCCCTGAAGGAGGAGGATCATGGGTAGAAGGGCAGGGACAATCTAATAATAAGACGGGATAGTAGGATTGGTTAAAAAGGGTTTTTTGTTTATTTTTTTCTCTTTTTATATTAAAATCATTTAAGGAAAACATAAAATAAAACGGGTATAAAATCATCTTTAGGTAGGCTAGGGATCAATTACGATAAAACTGAAACCACAAGATCCTTCGAAGATGAAGAAAGGTAGGGACTAAACTTAATACTTCTGACAACCACATGAACTATTTATGAAGACTATTCAGGGTTAAGTTATTTTGAGAACTCAAATATTTGCAAAAACCGGAACACTAATATATACACACATATATATCATCAATGCTTGTATCTTCAAGAAGGTCTCTTGAAATGAAGTTTGTGTCAATCGCACCTGCTACAATCACTTGATACAATCACTGATTCGACTAGGAATTTGGTGGAATTTGCATACATGATGTAAAAAGGACTCTGGATCCATTTGCGATTCCTCACATTTCGTTCCAATAATTTGGGAACATGGTGGAATTGTTGTGGGAGAGAGAATGGAGAGGCATCTTACGAGTTTCTAAAGGAAGAAATAGAAGAGATGATTTGTTTCCAAAATTATAGGTTTTTCTTTGTTATTAATTAAAATTAGATTATTATATTAAAATATAATTAATTAGCTAATATGTTAAATTACGTATATACCGTTATCCCTATTTCTAAAATGGTGGGTCCATATTTAGTAACACAATAACACAATATTTGTTAGGTATATGATCTATCTCTCTCTCTCCCTCTCTCTCTCTCTCTCTCTCTCTCTCTCTCTATATATATATATATATATATATATATATATATATATATATATATATATATATATATATATATATATATTGAAACGTACACTATTAGATAAACAGAAATGCAATGGATAAAGTAATGGCTTAATAATACAAATTAAAGTAGAAACTTTGATAGAAAATATGTGGTTATCTATGAGCCATGTGCGTGGATATTTGAAGAAAAGATCATGATATTGAACTTGAACAACACATGGTTATTTTTACACATGAATTTTGGCTGCCACTAGAAAAGGTCAAATTTGGAGTGTAATGTGTGGACATTTCTCATACACTAGTTTGAGGCCTTTCATAAAATTTAAATTAAAAAATGTTGTTTAATTAAATGATGCATATAAATTGTTAAATTAAATAACATTTATTTGAGAATGTAACTTAAATAACTTCTGCAAATCGAAAAAATAAAAAATCAAAGAACCACCCATATATTTTTTTGAAAATATTGTTTGTTTACTATTCTTTTTGAAAGGTAGTTATTTTACACAAATGCATATAGTTTTGAAACGTTAAATGAGCATAATTATCAAAATTCATAGGCATTATGTTTCAAATGCAGGTTTTACCTAAAACAATCATGTATAGAAAAATTGGTGCGGCTATTGGTATTGACCTTGGAACAACATATTCTTGTGTGGGTGTTTGGCAAAATGACCAAGTTGAGATCATATCCAATGATCAAGGAAATAGGACTATGCCATCTTGTGTTGCTTTCACGAATGGCGGACGTCTAATAGGTGAAGGTGCAAAGAACCAAATTACTATGAACCCCGCCAACACCATTTATGGTTTGCATTTAATTCATTTGGCCTTTGTTTTAAGCTCTTAGAATTCATAAAATTGTTATCCATCATTGATTAATATAAACTTAGTGGATTTTTAGATGCAAAAAGATTGATTGGAAGGAGATTCAATGATACCAAACTTCAGCAAGACATCAAGTTATGGCCTTTCAAAATCATAAAAGGTACTAACGACATTCCGATGATTGTAGTTTCACACAATGGTGAAGAGAAGGAGTTTTCCGCAGAGGAGATTTCATCCATGGTTCTTATTAAATTGAAAGAAGCTGCAGAGAAATTCCTTGGTAAAACTGTACGTGACGCAGTCATCACGGTACCAGCTTATTTTGATGATTCTCAACGCCAAGCAACAAAGGATGCTGGTCATGTTGCTGGACTTAATGTTCTACAGATAATCAATGAGCCAACCTCAGCAGCAATTGCATATGGATTAGACATGAAAAATGATATAGTTCGTGACATAAATGTGCTCATCTTTGATTTAGGTGGTGGTACATTTGATGTCTCTCTTGTCACCATTGATAAGAAGGGTACGATAACAGTTAAGGCTGTTGCTGGTGACACTCACTTAGGTGGCCAGGACTTCGATAACGCAATGGTTGACTATTTTGTGGAACAATTCAAGAGAAAGCACAAGGCAGACATCAGTGTGAATAAAAAAGCACTATCTCGGTTGAGGGAAGCTTGTGAAAAAGCAAAAAGAGTTCTCTCTTCAATTATTGATACTACTATCGATATTGACAACTTGCATGATGGTGTTGATTTTTCTATGAGAATATCTCGTGCAAAGTTTGAAAAGCTTAATGAAGATTTCTTTAGTAATTGTATAAAGATGGTGGAGACGTGTTTGGGTGACGCAGAAATGAATAAAAAACAGATAGATGAGGTAGTATTAGTTGGTGGGTCAACCAGGATACCCAAGGTACAACAATTATTGAAAGACTTCTTCCAAGGAAAAGAGCTTTCTAAGAAGATCCATGTTGATGAGGCAGTTGCATATGGTGCAACAGTTCTTGCTGCAAAATTAACTGGCTATACCGGTAAAAGAGTTAGCAACTTAGTGTTGATAGATGTTGTGCCTTTGTCACTTGGTATAGAAATTTATGGTGGCTCTTTGTCTGTTTTAATTAAAAGAAATTCCCCAATACCAGCCAAGAAGGAAGAAATTTATGTTAATGCTAAGGATTACCAAGATACGTTACCTTTCAATGTCTATCAGGGTGAGAGAAGTATGGCAAAAGACAATAATTGGCTGGGAAAATTCGATGTTGCAGTCCCACCTCTACTAAAGGGTTTGTCAAAGGTAAAAGTGATCTTTGACATTGATGCTAATGGCATTTTAAATTGCTCGGGAGTGGAATTAACAACTGGCCTAAAAAAAGGGATTATAGTTACCAATTACAAGGAGAGACTTTCAACACGAAATATTGAAAAAATGTTAGATGATGCTCACAAGTACAAATTACAAGACGAGGAGTACAAGAAGAAGGTTTTTGTACGTAATGCATTGGAGGACTACATTTACGATGTGAAAAGCAAAATCAAGAAAATAGGAAACACTACCAAGATGTTTACTAAGAAAGAACTAGAAATAATGGAATCTGCCATAGAAAAAGCAAGCGAAATTCTTAATGAAAGCCAGCTTGCGGGTTTTGATGAGTATCAAAAGGCGCTAAATCAGTTGGAAAAGGTATGCCTGCCAATCATTGCCCAACATGTTTAAACAACATTTTCTTAATTGTGATGGAGATTTAGTTGGAGTGTCATCTACTATAAAGTATGTTCTATAATTTGTATTTTTCAATAAAAGTTTACATTTCACTGTTGGATTGATTTTGTTTGTGAGTGAAGAATCAAATGATGTTGATAATATTTCTACTATATACAGTCAATAAATATATTTCTCCTTTTTCAAGTGTATCCAAGATAAGAACCGTTGCTGATGATATTTAACAAAAAATCAGTGATGGAATTATCCCTGGGACAAGTAATCCCCATTGGTGCTTTTAGTTTTAGAAAAAGAGCTACCAAAAACTTGTCATCAAATATGGTAAAAGAACATTGTTTACCAAACAACATGACAATAATTTAGTTTCTCTTGACAGTAACGGAAAATTTTGTCGTTTTTTTGCGTTAATCTCTTACAAAAATTTCATTATTTTCATTTGTGAACATTTTATTGAAGGTTTGTTTCTATTTCTGCTAAAAGAATATGCATAATCTTTTTTCTTTTACTTCATTACCTTTCTTACATGTTTCAAATTCAGTAGCAAATATATAAAGAACATGAAAACTGATAGCTTTTAACATTACAACCAAAATAAAATGCAATAATACAAACTACAATGCTCTTATAAAAGATAAATAAACTTCTTAAATGAAAAATTACAATTTGTAAGACAAAGTACAACGCCATATTTTAGTGTGTAATGTCCTAATAGAAACTAGAAAATTACCAAACCAAGTTTTATAAAGCTAATATTTCCAAAAGTGATGTGATTTTTTGCAAAGTAGATAAACTTTTGCTTGTGATGTTTGTATAAATGACCACATCAGTTCATGGAAGATTAGCTAGCGAGAGCCTAATTTCATCTATAAAACATAGCCATTTGTAGGTCTCCTCGTCCTCTATATCACAAAACTGCAATATTATTAAATCATCCCTCTTTAGATGCATAACATAAAATCCTACGTATATAGGAAATGTATGATCATCCTTTCTTGAGAAACCATGAGTGCAACCTAATCTTTTGAACATAGACGGTAGAATAATAGCAAGAGCAATGACTAGTGAGTAAATTTATTCTTATAACAAAGGTTGATACGAAATAAAATGTAATAAGTAATAATACTAAGTGTAATGCCATAATGGCAAAAAACTAAAAGTACGATGGTATAATCGATAGTCAAATTCAAACAAGTTTAGATTTTCAATGTATAGTAACACTATAGCTTAGATTTTGAAAGTATAATGACTTGATAAGTTAATATGATAGATTTTTAAATTATGATGACTCGATATGTTAGATTTTCAAAATACAAATTACAATGATTTAAAGGTTATAAACTTAATTCTTACTCTTAACATGGTCTTGTGACATAGAGGTATATCACGGTTCTAAATCCTCCTCATCGCACGTCATGATTCCATGGCATGCACTTGACATAAATTTTAACAACATGTCATTTTCAGTCATATATGTATAAAATATGAATAATAATAATAAAAGATATATAAATGATCAACAATCTTATTAGGCTTCACAATCAAATTAACTGATGAAGCAGACTCATCAATATACAAAACATGTTCAGAAGAAGTAGACATTGTGGATTTTCAGTATGAAGGTATGACAACACTTAAGAATGCAACTGATTCTCTTGTAAAACTGATTGAATATATTAGGAGCATAAAAATTGGAATTAGGGTAAGAATTGGGGAATTATAGTTAACAGAAAGCCATACGTCTATAATTTTGAATTTCAAAAATCCTAGAATAAATGGAGAGAGACACCACCAAAGTAACTTATTAAATGCATGTCCAATCTCATGTCAGTATAACCGTTTGAAATCCCGCAGTTATTATCACTTTTTCAATGGTCCAATAACAATATGTTAGCATATCATGCCTTCAACAGTAAGAAGATAATTGTGATGACTTCATTTCTTAGAAATATAATTCACTTTCATTACCAGAAACAGGGTAAAGTTTGTGGTGAATACAATCATGGTGACAACAACCGCAATCATGAACACAAAATTTGTAAAATCTTTTTTCAAGTTGTTTTTACTTGAGACCTCAAGGATTTTAATTGTATTTGTGTGATTGTGCTAGAGAAATATAGAAAGAAATAGGATTTGGTAGAAATCTCATATATAGTGATAATGATATGCAATCATACATTTAGACATCCTAAAACCTCAGCTCAAGGTTGTTGATACTTGAAACCTTAGAATGAAGAGGAGATAGAGGAAAGGGATAGAAATTTCGTTCCTAAGCTTGTAGGTAAAGGTATGAAAAAAAATTTGTTGGTCTTGGGTTCTTATAGTTTAAGTAACTTGCAGGCAAAGCTAGATTTGAATTAATTAAATAATATATTTAATCCCAATTGAAATCATTTCCTTATCTACATCCAAGAGGCTTCCAGAAACCCTCAGAATCAAGCAAAAAAAAATCCATACTATGGATAGTTCTAGAATTGCTCATTTTGTTCAACTATTTGACAATTACAATTCACTCTTATACCTTTAATTAATTTCAACTAAACCCGAATTAATTTCAGATTAATTCTGATTAACAATTAATTCTTAATGATTTCTCATTAATTTATCAATTAATAAATTAATTATTAACTACTGATCTCATGTTACTTTATTAATCACATAACAAATTAATAGATCAATTATTTATTTCCAATTAATATATTAATCACATAATATATTAACAAATCATTTCTCTCTCTCTCTCTCTCACACTTAATATCATTTCAAGCTATTTTTGGTTATGAGAGCAACCCTAAAAGGACCATGGTTCTATTTTCAAGTTTATACCAATTTAGTTATGAGATTAGACATCTTAATCCAAAAAATCTCCCACTTGGATAAGTATATAACTACAATTGCAAGTATAATCAAACAACAAAGAGCGCTTTCCATAGCCAGTGCCAAACTCCAATTTAAATCAAATGTCGGCCCTAAGATAAGTGATTAGCTATTCTTTCATTCTCCAATATATCATATGAACAAATTCATCGATTAAATGATCAAGCTCATGTTCATTTGTTTTTTCTCGATCTCCGATTTAATGATCAAATTCAGACTACAAAATCGAAAAAATCAGTTTAGTCTAGACCATACCTAGTTCTTATAGATCAAATCAAATCACTGAGGGGCCTAAAGATATCGTTTTTCCTTGTTTAGGAAAAAGAAATGAATAACCCTTTATAACATTTAGTTACGAGATGCGTTTGGGCAACCCAATGCACAATTTATTCGCAAACTATGAGCTATCTATGTCTGCTTTAAGAATAGTAGATATTATTGACTTAGAATTAATTGTGATAAAATCCATGAAGTATTTTCTAAGCGTGGGTTTATCCAATACTCAAAATCCTATTTTCTATGTACTCATGAATATTGCAGCAATCCCAATGGAATGTCTAATCTCCATATAAAAATCTACAAACAATTCATGACAAGCTTAATTCACTATTTACTTCCAAAAGTATAAACGAATGTGGAATTTCGAATAATAAAATTATTTAGGAAGTAAACATGCAAAGTGACACACAATAGTAAACTAATTGATGGTGGTATCAAACTCTTTGAATATAAATAAGTCTCTGTTATTTGATCACCATAACAATTACAAAATTTATTCATTGTAGATTGTTTCTCACTACTTGAATTAAGTAACAAAAGTCATGCCATGTTCTAAACATGCATACTATGCCTCTCTATGGTCCTTCCTTTGTGTACAGATCATTTGTACATTACTCTACTGATGCTCAATTTACAATTCCTAATTCTCATTACTATCTAAGATATAGTGGAATTGTTTCTTTAAATGCATTGTCCTTTTGAGATGTCGAGGTTCTAAAGTCATAGAAACTAAGCCTTCGATATTATAGAATGTTCCACTGGAACTTGTTACCGAGAACAATTCCATGGTTATGATTCAAGACACATGTAGATTTTATAAGAAACTCACATGTAGATTTTATAACCAACTCTTATTATGGAAACAATTATATATACCCATCTCCCTTTATGGAACCATTTCCATATTCCCATATGACCTTCAATTCTGACCAAGAAACATCTCAATTTAAAACGTGTCTCTATGGTCCTTCCAAAACAATATCATACTTCCAACTGTCCACAAGCAACTAATCTTCAATAAACCTTAGAATGTTCTTGGTATGTAACGTCCCAAAAATACCAAGTAAAAGTTTCATTTTAAGTAAGTTAAAGCCATTCATTCATTGTTCAGGGTAATTTGTAAACATTTAGTGCTGAATAAAACTCCAAGGGATGCAATGCGATCAAGCCAGACCCTTCGTTTTGAAAACGGAGGTAGCTATAAATATAAATTGTAAGCACAAAGCTTAGTAACTTCCCCAAAGTACCACATACAACACACACACGCACACACACACACACACACACACACACATATATATATATATATATATATATATATATATATATAGCAACAAGTGGCTATGTCGGGTCCGCATCAACCCCCGGATCCGTACCAACCCTGAGTCCATAATGACTCCATGTAACAACATACAACCGTGTTAGGTCCGTATCAACCCCCGGGTCCATTTCAACTCCGAGTCTATTATGACTCCGAGCCCAGATCGGCTCTATGCATATAATATACAGTCTTACTAGTAATAGTCACAAAGACATCCAGAACATACAAGCATATCAGTAAGTGTTACAAAGACCACTACTATACTACAACATAATCCAGTAGGCTAGCATTGGTGCCTTTGAACCACAAGTATAGTAAGGAGAATCACCTTACAGTCTGAAAGGATAGTTGCACTGATCACTGCTCCAAAAGCTATCTCTACCGGTCACCTATTCAATTAATAAGGACCCAAATCTCAAACTACTATTCAAATTACCCAAAATGCCCTTAGGTCAAACTTGGTCAAATTCATGGTTAAAGTCAAAAAGTCAAAGGAGGTCAACATAGACTAAGTACGCCCAACGTACCCAGTCACTACGCTCAGCATAGAAGATCCCTTCCTGATTACAAGGCTCCAGCTTGGTATGCTCAGCGTACCACAAGGTACGCCCAACATACTCGACCAATTCCATTTTCCTTCATTAAGTGCTATTACTTAATTACCTTTCACCCAAATTTAGATCTACACCCAAAACATTGCTCTAAGTCATAAAGTTTCC